AGAGCTTAGCAGTCCAGCAATTCATAGCCTCTTAAAAATTTCAGGGAACTGTTTTCTGAAAAAGCTTGTCAAAGAACAATGCCAATCTCATAGAGGATGGTAAGAGATAAGCAGATTGCAAAGGAGAGGACTGAGCAAGCAAGCTGGCTGCCCTGGCACTGCTCTGTAGGAGCCAAAATTAGACACAAGACTCAGTGGACCAGAGCAAGGCAGTTTGTCACTCAGGACAGCACAGCACAGAGCAGAACCTCAGCCTGGTGGCACAGATTCCCTGCCCTCAAGTCCCGTGGGTCAATGTGAGGGGCTCAGATGGTGGGTTGTGCAGCTGAGGGCCCCAGGGCCAAGGGCTCGACACCTTGCATGACGAGCAGCGAACAAGCCCAGCTTCTGTTCAGGTGCATCATAGTCATGCTGTGATGACCTTGACCTACTCTGTTGCCTATGTGACCAGTCCCAGAATGGCTCAGAGTCAGGGTATGGTTAGGTCTTGTATTTTGGCGCAAAGATATGCAAAGGTGCTTGGGGCCGTAGCAGACTGCCTCTCCCAGCAAAGGTGGTACTTGATCTGGGCTTGTGTATTAGTCAGGGTCTCCAAAGAAACAGAACTAATAGAACACATATGCATAAAGATTTATTATGAGTGAGAAAGCTTCTGAGATGTTGCATGATGGTTACACAGTGTATACCTGTGTAAAAGTTCTTTGAGCTGGGCACGTAAGATCAGTGGACTTTATGTGCTTTATGTACTAGGGTACTTCAAGGAGTTCATGGACAGATTTGTATTGTCTTTTAATTCTATTTTTCCGTGGACTCTTTGAAGTACCCTCACATTTTACATTAAAAAAAAATTATAGGCATTAGAGAACCCTGGCATTTAGTAGGTGCTTCATAAATATTTGTTGCTGATGTTCTATTTGCCAAGAATGTCTTCTTAATTTTGTTCATTTGGTAGATCCGTTCTCATCTGTCAATAATCTCATTTAATAATAAACTGCCTTTAATTATATATATATATATTTTAAAAAGATTTATTATGAGGGATTGGCTTACACAGTTATGGAGGCTAAGTTCCATAATTTGCCATCTACAAGCTAGAGACTCAGGAAAGCCACTGGTGTGATTCAGTCCGAGTCTGAAGGCCTGAGAACTGGGGGAGCAGTGGTGTAGATCTCAGTCCACAGGTAGGAGAAGACTAATGTCTCAGCTCAAGCAGTCAGGCAGGAGAAAATGGGAAAATTCCTTCTTTTTCCACTTTTTGTTCTATTCAGAATTAGATGAGGCCTATCGCACTGAGGAAGGCGATCTGTTTTAGTGAGTCCACTGATCCAAGTGCTAATCTCATCCAGAAACATCCTCACAGACACACTCAGAAATAATGTTTAGGGGCACCTCTGTGACCTGCTCAAGTTGACACATAAAATTAACAGTCACAGCTTGGAATCATTTTAACAGATGAAGATGGAAGAGTTTCAGGTGGGAAAGATACCATGAGCGAAGTCATAACGTGCCAACTTTAAGGGGATCCTGATCATTTGAAAGCCTGGAACATGAATCCTTTTGTGAGAGATGAAGCTGGATTGGGAAATCTTGACACCAGTATGCAGGACCCTAAAAGTTAGGCCATGGCAGATAGAATTGGGTACATAGCAAGGGAGCCAATGAAAAGTTTGAGCCCAGGAATATACTTGAGACATATATTATGAAGATGGCTCATATTATTCTTCTCTTATGAACAATAAAATTGAGTTTATTGGTCTTAGTAACCTTCAAATCTGCCTTCTTTCCACCAGAGCTGACCAACTCTGGTCTACAAAGACTGGCCAGGTAACTCAGCAGCCGGCTCCTGCCACTCTCTAGGGAGGTTTTCTTGTCCACTGAGAATGTATATCATAATGTCAACAGTGTTTATTTTGAACATGAGTATGTGCTTGGAACTGGATGGCAATGCATCGATATGTCCGATAGCTCCTGCCTTATCACCTAAGGCTGGCACAATCCTCTTTAGTTCAGTAAGGATTCTCTAGTGTAAGAATTAGTTTCATTTCACGATAGCAAACAAAAGGCAAAGGGGATCTGTGTGTGAAGCAGTGACTGCCTCCCTAGGTACAAGCCGTGCTCTTCCAAAGGCTTTGTTAGGTGTGACTCTAATCAAACCCAGAGGGACATGTGCTTTTGATTTCTGTGAAGTGTAAAGATCGCTGCTACGCTAGGAACTCTGGACTGAAGACAGAGGTAAGGAGGCAGCTGAGTGATGACTCCTGAGTGTGGCTGGGTGAGCAGCTTCCAGA